AAATGAAACATGAACCAGTGCGAAGTCGTCGCGCGCGTTCCTCATCAGTTAATCGTACAAAACTGGAAGAGATATCCATCGCGTTAGGATCAGCGGATGGAACGTGGAAGGTAGTCGAGGTGTCGGTCGCGCCATGCAACTTGCTGTCAATTTTAATGGCTAAGTTGGCGATCTGCTCTAAAGAAGTGAAATTATCCTGAGTCATAACCATAGCCACCCTTATTTCCTTCTTCAGACCCTGCTCATAGTGACTGATCAGAGTCGGGGTCTCCCATCCCGTAGCTGTAGCGTGTACATTAAACTCATGGGTGTACGCCGCTACCGAAGTCTTTTGAGATAAATTGCGCAGAGCCCGCTCAGCTTTCGATTTCTTCTCGGTGTCGAAATACATCGCCTTGAAATTGGTAACAAATCGCTCAAATGTGACAAGGTGAGCAGACGAGGCGTCGAGTAGTTCGGTCATGAGAGGTTGAGCCCAATTTCCCGCCGCTCCAGTGAGGTACGACAAGGAAAAGACAACCTTACTGCGATCATCGGTGAATTGATAAGGATGCGCTAGTAAGTAAAGTTGGATCTGGCTAAGAAATATCTCTGCCGGTGCACCTCGAACGCCTCCAAATTTATCAGGAGTAGACACCTTAGGCCCTTTGGGATTGGGTGCTATTTCGGCGTGAACATGCGTGGTACTAGCAGGCTGCACGGGTGGAGGATTAGACTGCTGAGATATCATCGCTTGCAAACGGTTTTCAGCATCGCGGGAACGAGCCTCAGCTTGTTCTCGAAGGTTACGTTCGGTCGCTAATGAGTTAGACAGTTCGTTAAGTTGGCGCTGGATATCCTCCATAGCCAATGGTACGACAGCGGTACTTGGTTCTAGATCGGTGATTAGATGATCGGCGTCGACGAAGGGGGTTGCTTCGGAATCCGAGTCAGCCTCGTCGAGGTGTGGGGTTGTGTATGAGGGTGACGTGGTGGCGGTAAAATAAGCTTCTGATGTTTCAATAAGATCACTCCAGTAGTTCAATCAAGATAAAGTTGAGTTCAGATTCTTCGGTGTTCAGTTGAGTTCTAAGGTTTCAGTTCAGTTCAATTCAATTCAATCTATAAATCTAAATCTAATTTCTAATCTAATTCTTCTTCTATTATAAATTCGATTCGGTTTTGATTCCTTGATTCCCTATTGATAGATCCGACAATATGTTAGGACTTGTCTCTCGGGGGTTGTCTCTCGTGGAGGAATGAAGGATCGAGACCAATCAATCTTGGTTTGTTATTAAGATTGTCGGATGAGGAGAAAGCTATACAAGTTACGTAATACAAGCTATAGATGAGTCTCTCTCGTGACATGTCACTTCTCTGTCACACCTGTTACATTAATGGAGTTGTAACATGTTCTTAATATTTGCGAACCGATGTAGTTTTACAACACCCGAGTTGTATCCTTTCAATGTCCCGTCTACCCATGCTCCTTTTAAATAATGCATCTGTACCTCATCATTTTCCGTTGAATCAATCCCTATCGCATTTTTTCTAAAGGTTCCAAAAGGTTTCAGCACTTTCTTTTTGTTTGATTCTATTTTGCTTTTCTTTTCTTTGTTGGTATTTAACTGATTAGGCTTTGTTCTTCCCATTATGCTTCAGTGTTATTTGTGATATGATTCTCGATAGATCTAATGGTACCTCTACTCTTATTTCATTGAACCACATTAGTTTGTCATCCAGTATCCCTCTCGAGAGTCCATCTGCATCATTAGTGTTAGTTGTTACACGTTTAGCACTAATATCACATCCTAATTTTGTAAGTAATTGTTGGATTAATTTCCATTCTTCATTTACTAAATTATCTTTGGACTTCCTTTTCTTTACAGTTGACTGTTTCATTGTATTATCGGTCCACACCACAAACGTTTTACCTATTTAAAACATTTCAGTTAGTTCGAAACTTTCCCCTAGGTTATTTCTCTTAGTTTACTCACCTGACACTTCTCTCAGTTTGTTTAGAACTAAAAGTCCCAACCTGATCGCCACTGTTTTGGCCCAGGCTATTGATCTTTTTTCGTTCTCCAATTCAAACGTTTGCCAACCTTCTACGAATCTGAAGGATGCCCAATGCTCTCCTATCAGTATTCCTATGCCGAATGAGGATGATGCGTCCCCAACCCAGGCTATATCTGTTGGTTTTCTTGAAAGTATCAATGGTCGTGCATTGAAATTTTGTAGGCATATCTTCCACTCTATTAAATCACTTCTTACTGAGTTTGGTGTTGGACGTTTGGCTGACTTATTTACCCAACTTTTCTGCCATCTATAAAAGGATCTTAAATAGGCCATCATATGTGGGACTATGTATACTGTATGTACTAGTCTTCCTAGCAATGTATCGACTTGTTCGTACGTCCAGTCTGGGTTTTCCGTTTGATCCAAGAATTCATCTATTTGGTCTAATCTTTGTTTTAACTTATCATCGGGTAGTCTTACGGTATGATCTTTCCCATTCCACACAAATCCGACGTATCTCTGCTCCGTCTTAAAGTCGTGGTTTTTCGCTGGATTCGTCAGTACTCCTAAAGAATTGCTCAGCGTGGTTATGTTTTCGAGCGTCACTGTTTGATCCGGCCTTTTCAAGATTAAGTTATCATCTACCCATCTAAAAATTCTGGGTAGCTTGAATATCTTTTCCATAATTATCTTCCACGCATTCGCCGGTGCCCCAAACACCCCACAACACGCCACTCCTCCGAAACCAACAGCTAGATCTACCCACAATCGTCCTTCAAAATCCATGATTATTAAGTATTTTCTTTGGCTCGGTTGATTTGGGAGTTGTCTGAATGCCTTCTTCCAGTCAAAGATCGCAAAGACCCACTCTCCTGGGTTATCTACTAGGAATCTAGCTACAGTGTTAAAATCGTCCCAGTAAGTGTTGAAATTATTCTTGTCTACAAACGAATTGACTGATGGTATGTTGTGTACGTTTTTAGGATAAGATAAATCGTTTATCAATCTAATTGATCCATCTCCATTTTCCGAGCTTCCCATTGGGTTCGATCTGAAGAATCCAAATCTATTATGTAATTCCTCATGTGAAAATGGACCCGCTAATCTTCCTGCTTCCCGATCACTCCTTATCGTCTTCTCGATCTGTGATCTAGCTAATAGAGCAGATTTATGGTTAGGCGGGGTGTACCACTTATGGCCTTCTAATTCGTGTTGTTGAATGCCTAGACAAAAGCCATCTTTAAAGCCTCCTATTATGTATGAGATTTCTTTTTCCAAACCAGCTTCTTTCATCAGTACACTCCACTCCTCGAGGTTCATTTTACTTCTAACCGGTGCGGGCCACGTATTGTTAACCGGTATTGCTAATATTTTCCTTTCCCACAAAGGTTCAGGTTCTGGTCTTTCAATCATCTCCTCTTCATCATCACTCTCCGAGCTTTCCTCTTCTATGTTTTCGTTCCTCAACTTTTGGTTTTTATTTGGTGGGCTTTCTGTGTTTTGTACTGTTGTTGTTATTATTTTTGGTGTTCTCACATATTCACTTATCTGTTGTTCAAATCAGCAGGGAAATAAAAGTTTTTATTATTATTCATTCAATACGGCAGTCTACGACTAAGTAACGTTGGCGCCGTACAGCTGCAACCGTACCAGTACCATCAAGAGATTACAACGAATTTAGGAAGTAAAGTTATCCCCAATTGAGCATTCAAGTTACACACAAAGTACGATATTGACAACAAGATCATGAAGGTTTTATTCATCAGGAGGGTTAGGAACAAAGCGGAAGGTTTTTAAAGTTAGTATTTATTCAATTCATGTTTAACTTCTTAGTTATCCATTAACTGATTTGGTTCATACCTGTTATTTCCACCACCATTTTTCGCATTATTGCCACTTCCCGTGTTCTTATTATAGCTCCTAAAGTTATTGTTGTTCTGGTAGGATGTTTGTTGGCTACTTTCACCCGTGTTCGTTGGTGCAGTGAATTGGTTTGACGGTTGCATTAATTGCGGATCCATCGTTTGGTAGTTGACCGGGTATGTCATTACAGATTGATGTTGTGGATTACTGTAATGTGTCGGAGTGAAACCGTAGTGGGTTTGGTTCTTAAAATTTTGTTGATTATGGTGAGTAAAGTTCTTATTACTTTTGAATGAATCATAGTTTCTTTTATTGTTGTGTTGGAATTTACGATTTCCTGCTCTCTTTCCTCTGAAGTTGTTCATGTTTCCATTTTGACTACTTGATTCAGCTTGAGTCGTGACTTCAATAGTTTTTGCTGACGTCGATGCAATCGGTGCGTAGTTTTGGTTGTTGACATTCGGTTTTCCTGACTTGAAGTTAAAGCCGTACTTTGGATGATTAGGTGCATACGGGTTATTGGTGTACATCAAATCTCCCGCTAACTCCGTTTCCCATCTGGCCGTTTCCACAACTTCATCATCTCTACCTTCCGGTAAATACACTACGTCTTCTTCTACCGTTCTTGGTCTAAATATAAACGCTCTAATTGCTAAGTGATATCTTAATGCTACCATCCAGCAATTAAACTTTCTTTTCAGCTCTGTAACAATTACTTTGTGTTCATCTATGTGATCAGCATATTCCGGTAAATTGTACAACTCCCTTGCATATCCAGCTTCCAAATCACTCATTTCAATGAAATCGCCAAACGTAAGCTGCCTTTCTAATTCTACTTCTGATGTTTTCAATTTTAACTTTTTCGTTTTAGAATCAGTACCTGCTGTAGCATGATATAGGTCGAGGTATCCTCTATCAAATATTGTAATCGGGACATAGCTCTTCATGTCTCTAAACGCTTTGCTCCACTTCTTCGGTAATGAAGGTAAGTCGTGTGATTTCGCTTTCTTCTTTTTGAATTTGAGTTTCTTTTTCTTCTTAGATGATTTGTTATGGGATGAATCACTTTCTTCTTGGGAAGAATCTGATGAATTCTTAGATGATTTATTACTTGATTCTGATGATGAACTCGAATTAGATCATCTTCTTTTCTTTCTCTTTTTCTTTTTGTCATCCTCTGATTCATCTGAGGTTTCTTTTTCAGAGTTTAGATTAGTTGACTTCTTTTCCTCCATTCCTCTTTTCCCTTTTTCTAGGGATGATCGTTTGTTCTGCATTGACTTCGGAGTCGCCTGCTCTCGGTCATTGCTTTTCGATTTTGGGTTTAGATTACCAAACTCTTTCGCAAGTCTTTCAGTTGCCTTCTTGACTTGTTTCATCGTCCCCGTTTTAACTGCCATAGTTAATTCTTCGAGCAGGACTTCATGTCTATTCTGTTTCTCTTTACGAATTTCTGCAGCGGGACCTTTAACGTTACGAAACAATTCAGGAGGTCATAGTCAGTGTCTATTCTACCATTATTTGGTTTTAGACGAATCTGACAGTTGGCGCCACTGGCAGCCCGGCGCCTATGGCAGCCATTCCTTAATTTTGGAATAATCGTATCCTTGTGAGTAACTTCATGTTTAACTCCTTGGTATACTTCAATAGCATAGCTATTATTCATGTCTCTAGGACAGAATTTCCCGGCGCCAATGGCTGCCAATAGGGATTA